CAAAGTGCTGGGATTCCAGGCATGAGCCACCGCGTCTGGTCCAACAAACATTTACTTCTTACAGTTGTGGAGACTGGGAAATCCGAGATCCAGGTGCCAGCAGATCTGGTGTATTGTCACCGGGGGATTGGGGGGGGTAGGTGGAGAGAGAGGAGAGAGAGGGAGACAGACACTCTTATGAGGGCACTCATCCCATTCAGAGAGCCCCACCCTCATGACTTTATGACCTCCCAAAGGCCCCACCTTCAAATACCATCACATGCGGCCTTTGAGGGAACAGAAACACTTGGACCATGGCTGACTCAGTCCCTGCTCACAGCCGACTCAGTCCCTGCTCACAGCCAACACAGATCAGCAGGGTGAGCCGCTAACAGGCAGAAGCCAGGTGCCCCGTTGACATTGCCCCCACCCAGTGTCTAGCAGGGAGGCCTGGTGGCCAGAGGCCTTCACACTGTCAACCCCGGAAAAGCCTAAGACCAAGAAGGAGAATTCACGGCTGCTCGTGACCCTGATGGGTTCTGATGAGAAAACAGCCTTGCTTCCCATCAAGGACCTAGCTAGGCCGCAAGTGCAAACCACGGGGGCTGCTCAACCCACGCCGGCTGTTACAATTTCCTCTAGGATGCAGCCCAGCACTCGAGAGCTGGGCCTGGTAATGGGGCTGGTGCTGAGGATTCATCCCCAAGGAGGCTCTGCCGGTGTGAGAGAGACCGGGGACCCACCTTGGGGACAGGCGATTGGGGCATTCCCCCATCAGTCCAACCTCCAGCCCGACCCCGTGACCTGCTGGCACTCTCCCCTCTGACCCCAGCTTCGGTTTTGATACCGTGAGTCTCACCTGCAATATCCGGGGCTGCAGAGCTGGAAGCATCTTCTACCCGTGAGGTGGTAGACAGGGACACCTCCTTGCAGCTTCTCCCAGCCTAACGCACTCCTGTTTGTATCGTTCAAAAGACATAGTTCCCGTGACACTCTGTCCTGTAATATTTTCAATCAAGAGTGCGGGAGAGCGTGCGTCTGATGCACTCCAGATATTCAGAGATTGAAAATCGTTTTGTTCTCTTGTTTTCTTTTTAAAATGCAGCGTGAAGTCAGAACAGCCAGAGGAAATTCTGCCACCATTTTCCCAGAGCTGGTCTGCAGCCCCTCCGTCTGGGAACCTGCTCCTGGAGTCAGCCCTCTGCAAACAGGTATGAACCTCTCTACGCATTGCTGTCTGCTCCCCCCGAGCTGGTTCTCAGATGGGGGCTTCTCCCAGGCCTCGGGGCGGCCCACCGCCGTGAGGGGCGATGAGTGAGGGTGTCTGCAGGGGGAGCTTTGGTCTGCAGAGAGGAGGGTCCCCACCATGGGGTTCCCCAACTCCTCTGTGCTTTTCACCTGCCCTTCTCTAGTCCCCTCACTAAAATGCAAATCAGTGAGTGTATAATAGATAATTAATAGACTGATCAGCCAGCAAGGGAGGTAAGTAGATAAATAATTTTAATTATCCTTGGGTTGCCCATAAATTCCCTCACTGCCTTTTTATTAAACTCTCTGTTTACAGGAGTCATTTATATTGCATGTCATTTCGCCTCCCCCGCCTCCTGGGTGGCTCCCACTGGGGCTGACCTAGGATAGAACAGGACTGCGTGACCGCAAGATCTTCTCCTGGTAGAGCTTGTCCTGGGCACAGGTGTCAAAAAGCTTTGCCCAAGTGGCCAGCTGGATGGCAACAGGGCGGACACGCACAGCTCACGCGAGGCCCTCCTTCTGCGCCCCGAGGTGGCCGCAGCCTATATTTAGGCCTGAGTCGGAAACCTTTATTATACTTGGCACCTGTGCTGTAGGTATGAGCTCATTCTTCTCCCCAGGGATGGCCTTAGCCTATTAATAGCCTTGGCTGAGGTTCCCTCCTTGCTCCGAGTGCCAGGAGAGAAAGTGGGTTAATAAATATCAAAGAAAACTCCCTCAGAGGGCCTGGGGCCAGACTCTCCCAGACTCTCCAAGAGTCGTGGATGTCGGGCCCCAGACCAGGAGAGGGGTTCCCTTTTCCCCCAGCCTCTCATCTTCCTCCTGACAGAGGCCCAACGCCCAGGCTGGCAGGTCTGAGCACCAGGCATGGCAAAGCTCTCCCAGGTGCTGTCAAGCTGGAGGTAGAGGAGGGCACCCGGCACGGGAGGCCGAGGAGGTTGGCTCAGGTGGGGCTGTTGGCATCTGGGCAGCAGAGAGAGGGAGGCAGGGAGGGCACCCTGGACCTTCTGGCACCTTCCTTCTTGCCTGCACCCTCTCACGTCCTTCTGCCGATTCAGCAGTGTGGAAGGGAAAGGGAGGAAGTGACCTTGGGATGGCCCCCGAGGAAGACCCCACCCTCATCCTCTCCCAGGCCTGGAGGCTGCGGCAGGAATTGTTTAGACTGAGTTGGAAACAGTAAGGGAAGGGAGCCCCAGGAACAAAGCAGGGAGGGGAGGGGCGCTTCCAAGGGCAGGGTTGCCAGGGTGGGCTGGCAGCAGGCTCCATTGCACTTGATTAGCCGAATTCCAAGACAGTCACACGCGTGCGGGCCGTGGCTGGCGTTCTGCATGGATGTGTGAGGCGCCCTGGCCTGGCGCATTGTCAGCTAGCACTGTTGAGTGGCTTGGGTTGGGGAAATGTCTCACAGCCCCGTCTCATTTACTTTCCGCCGTTGCCGTGCGTGGGTGCTCTTAGCAGGACTCAGGGAGGTCACGGCCACCCAGCTGGGAACTGGCAGAGCTGAGGCTCAGGCTGGGGTTATCTGGCCGCAGCAGCCGCTGCCTGTAGGCCTCAGGTCAGGATATTTTCTGTGGAGCATGGGGCCCTGTTGGCTAGATTTCGTCTATGTTTTCTGGCTTTCACCCACTGGACATGAAGTCAGACTGTGGATGCTGCGGCTTTTATGAAACTCGACCCTAGCTGAGCTCTAGCACGGCGGCCAGTGACGGCAGAGTTTGGGCAGCCTCCAGTCACTGGCTCGCACAACCGCTGCCCAGGGCTGGACGCTAGAGGCTACGGTAGGTCAGCCCTGGATGGTTAGCCAGGTTGTGCACTCTCAGCTGGTTGTTCTGCTTTCCCTGGAGGGAGGCTGGCTGCCCACGGCAGAGAGGGAATTCAGGCTGAGCAAACGAAAAGGCCTTTTTAAGTTTCATTCAATGGAATTAAAATCTGAAAAATGGCCCAGTGGAGGCTCCCTGCCCTTTCAGGAGCTTGTTCAGCTCAGAGCTGTGCAGCTGGTCCAGCCCCCGCCCCAGCCCACACAGGCTGTATGGGAGGAAGACAAAGGGCCAAGGGAGAGGCAGAAAGATGTGACCATGACTTCCCCAAAGTCTTTCTCCCCTGTTCGGGGGCTCGCTGGAGGGGGCAGCCGAGCGCATTTCACGTCTGTCTGTCCAGCGGAGGTGGACAAGGGGGGCGGGGCTCTGCCCTGTCT